CCTATGATCACTTGCTTTTAAAAGTACTCCACATACAGAGGCAGTTAGAGCAGGTGTTGTTATTCATTCCCTTTTCCCATCACATGCTCCTCCTTGTTCCCTTTCATGACTTCTATGATAGCCACTTCCTTGCTTTTCCTTGTAGTTTCACCATCTTTGTATGTGACCATGCACTTCCTAGTTTGGCTTGTTTTTGAACTTTAGGTAGATGGGATTGTACTAAGTTTTCCTTTGTATTTTGCAAAGTTTGCTGTTGTAACAATGTTACTCAACATTCTTTTTACGATTGATCCTTTTTATTGCTTGTAGTTAGTTTGTTGTTTGGTGTTCCATTGTAAGAGTATACCACAATTTACCTACTGTTGGTGGACACTAGGGTTTCTATGTTTTTTGGTGAATATGAGGAACACTGCTGTGAATTTTCTTGTACACATACCCCATGATAATCTCTTGGAAGTGTGCTGGTTAGTAAGGTAGTTCTGTTTGTCTTAGTTATGCTATTTATGTCAGTCTGTATTAAATTCCTTTGGTTCTGAAAAGCCTCTTGACAACAACTCTTTGACCCCCTTCTTATGTTTCCAAGAGGAACTGATAAATGATTCTTCTCCTAAGGCCATTGTTTTATGCTCCTTAAAAAGGGCAAGTTATTTCTTCACAGTACAGTCTGGATTGAAGAGAACTGAGGAGCTTTGGTTTGGATGGAGTGACTGGAGAGATTATTTCTTTTTAAGAAAGGTTAAACAAGTGACCTTACTGTTTTGTTTGAAGTGAATTTCCAAAACATATATTCACTTATTTTTTATAAATACAGAACCCACCTCAAAATTATTCATAAAATTTTATGTGGTTTTCTACATCCTTCTCTTAGTGAAGCTATTCCCTCCTACTTCAAAGTGTCTTTCAGTCTAAACTTTTGGAGACAGTTTTCTAAAAAGAAAACAAGTTGACCTTTTGTGGAACCAGATTTCAAAATCCTATATAAGATACTCCAGTATTTTCAATTATTCTATCAAAATGTTCAGTAGACGTTTGTTGAGCACATATTATATTTTGCTCAGCACTGATGATACTTTTTAGCATGTGATCTCAACTCCTGTTTCACTGAAAAATTAAAATTCTGCCAGGCAGGAACTTCTTCAGATTTCTGCCCCTTCTTATCTAAATCGTTACCTGACCTTGCTTTTTTCTGTCTTGTCTCAAAGCACAGTGTGCACCCTTTACCTGGGTTTTCTCTTACTAGCTTATTGGCCTTTCTCCTTTAGTTAAAATTAACCCATGTCTTAGGAATCGTCATTGTGTTTATACTGGTAAGAATTTTTAACCTGGAGTACAAGAAATTTGGGGAGTTCTTGAACCCCCTGGAATTGTTTTTAAAGTTTTGTATGTGTTTGCATTTTCCTGGGGTAACGACCTAGGGCTTTTGCTTAATTCTGAAAGGGGTCCTTGATATAGAGGAAATTAAGAAGCAAGTTTTTCTCCTCTTCTGTTGGCCCTTCAACAACCCTGGTCTTTTCCCAAATTTTGTTCTATCTTTCTTCTCACAATCATGCTTTGTAAAAGAAATCTACACTTTCTATTTCTTTTTCTTTACTACTCATTCATTTGTTCATCCTCCTACCATTGAAACTACCTTGTTTGAATCATCAAAATTCATTATTTGGGAAATGTTTTATTGAGTACCAACTTTGTGCTGGGCACTCTTCTAGGCATTAGGGATATAACAGTGACTGGACAAGAGCCTAGATCACTTGGAGCTTACATTTGGTGGGGGGTGACAAACAATAAACAAATGAAGAAATAAGTGATATAATTTCAAATAGTGTTAAGTGTGATAACCTAATGGGCGAGTGAGTAGGAGAGAGGCTACTTTAGGTAAGAGGTTGGGGAGGATGCTCTGATATTTCAGCCAAATTGCCAAGGGTAAGAAGGAGCCATTCATGTCAAGGGCTTGGGGGTGAGAATGTTCCTGACGGAGGGAAAGCAAGGGAGGAGGCCTCAGAGTGGAATGAGATTGGCACAGTAGAGGAACAGAAAGAAAACCAATAAACCTGGGGGGTGAACAAAGAAGAGAGTAGTAGGTCTATTTAGGGAAGTGAAGGCAGGGGCCAAATCATGTAGGACCTTAAAAAGTTTGACTTTTTTTAAGAAAATTGAAATTGTATCAAGTATCTCTTCCGACCACAATGCTATCAGACTACATATCAATTACAGGAAAAAAAACTGTAAGAAATACAAACACATGGAGGCTAAACAATGCACTACCAAGTAACCAAGAGATCACTGCAGAAACCAAAGAGGAAATAAAAAAAATACCTAGAAACAAATGACAATGAAAACACAACAACACAAAACCTATGGGAGGCAGCAAAAGCAGTTCTAAGAGGGAAGTTTATAGCAATACAATCCTACCTCAAGAGACAAGAAACATCTCAAATAAACAACCTAACCTTACACCTAGAGCAGTTAGAGAAAGAAGAACAAAAAAACCCCAAAAGTTAGCAGAAGGAAAGAAATCATAAAGATCAGATCAGAAATAAATGAATAAGAAATGAAGGAAACAATAGCAAAGATCAGTAAAACTAAAAGCTGGTTCTTTGAGAAGATAAACAAAATTGATAAAACATTAGCCAGACTCATCAAGAAAAAGAGGGAGAGGACTCAAATCAATAAAATTAGAAATGAAAAAGGAGAAGTTACAACAGACACTGAAGAAATACAAAGCATCCTAAGAGACTACTACAAGCAACTCTTTGCCAGTAAAATGGACAACCTGGAAGAAATGGACAAATTCTTAGCAAGGTATAGCCTTTTAACACTGAACCAGGAAGAAATAGAAAATATGAACAGACCAATCACAAGTAATGAAATTGAAACTGTGATTAAAAATCTTCCAACAAACAAAAGTCCAGGACCAGATGGCTTTACAGGTGAATTCTATCAAACATTTAGAGAAGAGCTAACACTGATCCTTCTCAAACTGTTCCAAAATATAGCAGAGGGAGGAACACTCCCAAACTCATTCTACAAGACCACCATCACCCTGATATCAAAACCAGACAAAGATGTCATAGAAAAAGAAAACTACAGGCCAATATCACTGATGAACATAGATGCAAAAGTTCACAACAAAATACTAGCAAACAGAATCCAACAGCACATTAAAAGGTTCATACACCATGATCAAGTGGGGTTTATCCCAGGAATGCAAGGGTTCTTCAATATATGCAAATCATTCAACGTGATACACCATATTAACAAACTGAAGGATAAAAACCATACGATAATCTCAATAGATGCAGAAAAAGCTTTTGACAAAATTCAACACCCATTTATGATAAAAACTCTGCAGAAAGTAGGCATAGAGGGAACCTATCTAAACATGTAATAAGGCCATATATGACAAACCCACAGTCAACATCATTCTCAATGGTGAAAAACTGAAAGCATTTCCTTTAAGATCAGGAACAAGACAAGATTGCCCACTCTCACCACTGTTATTCAACATAGTTTTGGAAGTTTTAGCCACAGCAATCAAAGAAGAAAAAGAAGTAAATGGAATCCAAATTGGAAAAGAAGAAGTAAAACTGTCACTGTTTGCAGATGACATGATACTATAAATAGAGAATCAAAAAGGTGCTACCAGAAAACTACTGGAGCTAATCAATGAATTTGGTAGAGTAGCAGGATACAAAATTAATGCACAGAAATCTCTTGCATTCCTATAAACTAATGATGAAAAATCTGAAAGAGAAATTAAGGAAACACTCCCATTTACCATTGCAACAAAAAGATAAAATACCTAGGAATAAACCTACCTACAGAGACAAAAGACCTGTATGCAGAAAACTATAAGACACTGATGAGAGAAATTAAAGATGATACCAACAGATGGAGAGTTATACTGTGTTCTTGGATTGGAAGAATCAACATTGTGAAAAAGACTATACTACCCAAAGCAATCTATAGATTCAATGCAATCCCTATCAAACTACCAAAGTCATTTTTCACAGAATTAGAACAAAAAATTTCACAATTTGTATGGAAACACAAAAGACCCCAAATAGCCAGAGCAATCTTGAGAAAGAAAAACAGAGCTGGAGGAGTCAGGCTCCCAGACTTCAGACTATACTACAAAGCTACAGTAATCAAGACATTATGGTTCTGGCACAAAAACAGAAATAGAGATCAATCGAACACGATAGAAAGCCCAGAGATAAACCCATGCACATATGGTCACCTTATCTTTGATAAAGGAGGCAAGAGTATACAATGGAGGAAAGACTGCCTCTTCAATAAGTGGTGTTGGGAAAACTGGACAGCTACATGTAAAAGAATGAAATTAGAACACTTCCTAACACCATGCACAAAAATAAACTCAAAATGGATTAAAGACCTAAATGTAAGGCCAGACACTATAAAACTCTTAAAGGAAAACATAGGCAGAACACTCTGACATAAATCACAGCAAGATTCTTTTTCTTCTTTTTTTTTTTTTAAATTAAGAATAAACAGTCAATTTTATTGGGCTCAGACTAAGAATCCATGGGTTTTGAGGACCTCTGTGAATTTGTCAATTTTCTTCTCTGTGTTCTTTTCGACCTGCTTCCATAGCCTCGTGAGCTGCTTCTTTTTCCAGTAGTGGATCTTGGCCTTCTCCTTTCTCTTCTCCTCAAGGGTGGCTGTTACTGCCTGGTACTTCCAGCCAACCTGATGAGCCAGGGACCCTAGGTAGGCAAACTTCCACATAGGCTTCAGATGCACAACCTTGAGGGCGGTAGGAACCACCATCCTCTTTTTCTTGTCATAGGGTGGCAGGATCCCATCAAACGCCTTGAGGCAGTTTAGAGCGGCCTGGCCTTGATTGGTCTTATGGGACAGCATGCCTTGCACTGTCTGCCAGAAGATGAGGCTGGGGGCTCAGAAGTGGTAGGGGGCTCTGGGAGGGGTTGGTGTTCATCTGCTTGCAGAGGAATGCCAGGTACTTCAACTTGTTTCTATAGAAATTGCCAGAAATATTGATGCCCTCACAGCACATAGCCACCACCTTTTGACCCAGAAGCACCTGCTTGGCCATCATGGCCACCAGGCAGCCCAGGAGATGGCCTTGGCCATCGAGAACCAGGACCTGCCCCTCCGCCATCTTTGGCAGCTGCCTCCAAGATGCTTTTTGACCCACCTCCTAGAGAAATGGAAATAAAAACAAAAATAAACAAATGGGACCTAATGAAGCCTAAAAGCTTTTGCACAGCAAAGGAAAACAAAAACAAGATGAAAAGACAACCCTCAGAATGGAAGAAAATATTTGCAAATGAAGCAGCTGACAAAGGATTAATCTCCAAAATATACAAGCAGCGCAATATCAAAAAAACAAACAACCCAATCCAAAAATGGGCAGAAGACCTAAATAGACATTTCTCCAAAGAAGAAATACAGATTGCCAACAAACACATGAAAAGATGCTCAACATCACTAATCATTAGAGAAATGCAAATCAAAACTACAGTGATGTATCACCTCACACTGGTCAGAATGGCCATCATCAAGAAATCTACAAAAAATAAATGCTGGAGAGGGTGTGGAGAAAAGGGAACCACCGTCTTGCAGTGTTGGTGGGAATGTAAATTGATACAGCCACTATGGAGAACAGTATGGAGGTTCCTTGAAAAACTAAAAATAGAACTACCATATGACCCAGCAATCCCACTACTGGGTATATACCCTGAGAAAACCATAATTCAAAAGAGTCATGTGCCACAACATTCATTACAGTACTACTTACAATAGCCAGGACATGGAAGCAACCCAAGTGTCCATCGACAGATGAATGGATAAAAGAAGATGTGGCACATATATACAGTGGAATATTACTCAGCCATAAAAAGAAACAAAATTGAGTTATTTGTAGTAAAGTGGATGGACCTAGAGACTGTCATACAGAGTGAAGTAAGTCAGAAAGAGAAAAACAAATACCATATGCTAACACATATATATGGAACCTAAAAAAAAAATGGTTTTGATGAACCTAGGGGCAGGACAGGAATAACTACGCAGACATAGAGAATGGACTTGAGGATGTGGGGACGGGGAAGGGTAAGCTGAGATGAAGTGAGTGGCATGGACATATATACACAACCAAATGAAAAATAGATAGCTACTTGGAAGCAGCTGCATAGCACAGGGAGATCAGCTTGGTGTTTTGTGATCACCTAGAGCGGTGGGATAAGGAGGGTGGGAGGGAGAAGCAAAAAGGAGGGGATATGAGGATATACGTATGCATATAGCTGATTCACTTTGTTATACAGCAGAAACTAACACAACGCTGTAAAGCAATTATACTCCAATAAAGATGTTAAAGGAAAAAAGAAAAAAAATATATGAGCTACCTTTGTAAGCTAGAGATTAAAGTAAAAAAAAAGTTTGACTTTTATTCTGATTTCAGTGGGAAGCCATTGGAGTGTTTTGAGCAGGATCTCATTATTTTAAAATGATTGTTTTGATTTCAGTTTGGAAAACAGGTTGCAGGGAGCAGCAGTAGAAGGAAAAAGACCAGTTAGGAGACAATTGCAGTAATCCATGTGGGAGATGATGGTGACTTGAACCAAGTAGGTGATAATAAAAGTGTACAGAAGTGGATGATGGATTGGGGATATATTTTGGAGGTAGATCCAAAGGGCTTGTTGATGGATTTGATGAGGTTCAGGAAAAGAGGAAACAAAGACAACACCTTGGTTTTTGACTTTGATCACTGCACAAATGACAGTGCCATGTGACATGGGAAAGACTGGGAAGGAACATGGTGGAGGCAGGGTTGAGAGTAGAAGTGCAGGTGGGGGAATTGAGGTCTGTTTTTTTTTTTTTTTTTTTGTGGTACGCGGGCCTCTCACTGTTGTGGCCTCTGCCATTGTGGAGCACAGGCTCTGGACGCGTAGGCTCAGCGGCCATGGCTCACGGGCCTAGCCGCTCCGCAGCATGTGGGATCCTCCCAGACCGGGGCACGAACCTGTGTCCCCTGCATCGGCAGGTGGACTCTCAACCACTGCGCCACCAGGGAAGCCCAAGAGGTCTGTTTTAACATGTTAAGTTGTGATGGCTTTGGACATCCAATAAACAATATAATGTGTTAAGTGCTCCAGTAGGGATATGTTCATAGTTTGGAGGGAACATGGAAAATATATGCTAAGTCTTTGGGGGGAAGTAGAAGTCAGAAATACTTTTTTGTAGTCCTGTATTCCCTTAGCATACATGTATGTGGCACGAATCATACTGTACTGTAATTTCTGATTTGTTTTGGACTTCCCTAGATTCATTGAGGCTTGAAATTGTAAGTTTTTTGTTTTAATTTAATTTAATTTATTTTATATTGGCTGCATTGGGTCTTTGTTGCTGCACGGGGGCTTTTCTCTGGTTGCTGGTGAGTGGGGGCTACTCTTCGTTGCTGTGCGCAGGCTTCTTGTTGTGGTGGCTTCTCTTGTTGGGAACACGGGCTCTACGTGCACATGCTTCAGTAGTTGTGGCACACGGGCTCAGTAGTTGTGGCTCACAGGCTCTAGAATGCAGGCTCAGTAGTTGTGGCACACGGGCTTAGTTGCTCCGCAGCATGTGGGATCTTCGTGGACCAGGGCTCGAACCTGTGTCTCCTGCATTGGCAGGTGGATTCTTAACCATTGTGCCACCAGGGAAGCCCCTTGAAATTGTAAGTTTTTATTTGTTTTCTATCTTTCTAGCTTCCCAATCTAATATTGGTTCATCCTTATCCTAACTGTTTATAAATTTGTTTGGTAAGTGAATAAATATTACAATCTGATAGTATGAACTGAAACAGTGATAGTAGTGATGGAAGAAATGTGTTTGAGAGAGATTTTAGTGAAAAGATCAGTAGGACATGACGGCCAATTAAATAAGTTGAGTCAGTGAGAGGAATTAGTAATAATAGTAATTGTAAATAATAATAATATATATATAGCAGTTATTATTTATTGCCAGCACTGTTCTAAGTGCATTACATATAATAACTCATTTAATCCTCACAACAACTCTATGAGGCAAGTACTGTTTTCATCTCTATTTTAGAGATGAGGAAGCCATGGCCAGAGAAGTAACTTGCCTGTGGTCATGCAGCTAAGAAGGGGCAGAACAGGCATTATGAACGGAAGCAGTCTGAGGCTAAAGAACATGCTCTTAACCACTATGCTGTGTTGCTTGCCCGTTGAGAATGATTGTGATTCTAGCTTGGGTGTTTATGATGACAATTTGCTGCTTACAAAGTACTTTACTTGCGTTCTCTGAGATCTGTACAGGAACACAAGTTCCATTCAAAGCTCCATCTAGAGATCACTGCAAGGTGGAAGATATTCAGGTAGCCTGAGGTGGAGAAACTGGCATGCCAGGCATGGGCATTTCAGATACACTGATTTCTCTCCCTTTTTATTGCCTTCAAAGTTAGTGTAGGGAAAGTCGCAGCTCTAATATGATGGCTCACAATTGTCAGGTAGACTCTTGGTCTCTTTATACTTCTGATTTCTAGACTAGACTGATAGTAAACGTGACTGTTCATTTTACCAAAAAAAGAGGGAAGGTTCCATTTTATCCGCTTTAGTACACTGCTTCATTACCAACCTCTACAAATTTGTATTGACACCTTCCTGTTAGTCAAAGAACTGTGCAGATTGATGGAATACAGAGAGCTCTAGGATATTATTTGTTAAGATTCTAATAACTGTGTGAGGAAGACATATCCAGAAAAAGTAAATAGCTACATAAATTGTTCTATTACCAAGATATTTGGATGTCTCAATGAAGAGGTGATCACTGTTCGATGGAGAAGACAGAGAAAACCTCCTAGAGAATATGGAATTCAAGCTGAGCCTTAGAAGTGTCTTTACTTCAGTGGAGAAAAGAGTGAGGGCAAAGCTCATGAACAAAAGATAATACGTTTCTGAATGTATGTATAAAGAAGGTGTAGAATAGTTTGTCTTTAATAGAGGGGTTCTTGGAGGTGTCAAGTAGGAGGTAAATTTGAAGAAGTAGGAAGGGACCAAATTATGAAGAACTCTGTATGCTAGGCAGGTTTAGATTTTAGGTCCTTGCTATTCAAGGTGTAGTCTGTGTGCTGGCCAAATAGGGATCGCTGAGCAGCTTTTTAGAAATGCAGTATTTCAGACCTACTGTGAGTAATAATCTCATTTTAACAAGATTCCCAAATGATTCGTATGTTTACTAAAATTTGAAAAGTACTGCTATAGTGAGGAGTCATTTGATTCAGTTATAGTTAGTCACATGTTTATAACTAGGAACACATTTTTCAACAGAAACTATGTAAGAAATGGTAGTTAGGATTTCAGCCTAACCCATAAAGGCCTAAAACAATTCATAGTTAGAAATGCTTTGTGAGATCTAATGCTGAAGTTCCAGGAGAGGCAGGAACTGCTGGACTGGAGAACAGAAAAAGCAGATTTGTGTCTTGTTTAGGGAAAGGGAAAAAGGGAAATAAACCTGTCGGACTGCTAAGGGCTGGGTTGTACAGGGTGTTAACACAAGGTCAGTGATCCTGAGCCTTAATTTCCCAAGCACTAGATTTTGGAGCATAGCATCTGTGCTGCTTTGCTTGTAGCAAATTCTCTCTTAACGTAATGGTAGCCTTGATTCAGAGAAAGAAAAATTATTTCCTTAAATTATACAGTTTCTAAGATACATAGTCAAGTAAAAAAAGCACAGTGAAGAGTAGTATGTGTAGTATGCTAAAGTGAGAAAGCTTTTAACACTGTTATTTTGCACATGTGCAAATATGTATGTAGAAAAATTCTGAGAAATGGAATTATTTGTAAAGAAGCTATGTGCATTTGTAATGTTGCTAGATTTACCCAGTTGTTTTCCATAAATACTGTGTCAATTTACACTGCCACAGAATGCTAAGTTATATATCCAACTTTATGATTTTGCCAATGTGATGGTTAAAAAATGGTATCCCAGTGTTGTTTTAATTTGTATTCCTCCAAATGGTGAGATTGAATATCTTTAAGTCTATTTAAAAGCCATTTCTGTGAAATATCCATATTCTTGGCCAATTTTTATATTAGGGTATTTCTTTTCCTTTTTTTAATTATAGGAATTATTTATATATTAGGGAAATTAGCCCTTTGTGATATGGGTAGCAAACCTTTTTGTTAATATACAAAAATAACAATAAACAGGTAGCTAGTGAACATCATAGCCCTGGAAGTAGACCACTTAATTTGCTGCTGACCCATATTCCCTTAGATAGAGTGGAGTATGTCTTTTTTGAAAAGCATGTTCAATACTATAGTTTCATATTTGGAAAACACACAGAAGAAGTTTTATAATATAAAGTTTTAAGAAAGTAAATGTTGATGAAGTCCTTTTAGCTGGTGGAACAGGTTAAAAACAATTTTTTAATTGAATGTTGTTAATTTTCAAAATTATGATTGTTGTGGGAAATCACAAAGCTGTTTTAAACCTGACTGTCTTTATATTATTCCCATTCCTTCCACTAGGTTACCACCAAAGAACATGATTTTGATCTAGGGGCTCCAGTTTCTGAAGCTGAAAAACACCAGAATATTCTCCAACTAGAACAAGAAGTGAGAAATCAAGACAAATTCATTTCTTCACTGAAGTTACAGGTTACATTTAATTTCTCTGCATATTTCCCTAAATTAATTTGGGATGGGAGCCTATATTAAAATAAGATAGAGAATAAATACCAATTCAGTGCTCATTTAAATTGTATGGGTCTAAAATCATTCCATTTTTATCTTAACCATTTTGAAACACATAGATTCAGAGTTAGTGAGTGAAAACTATATCCCAGGTGTTGTATCAGATGCTTTCAAGTACATAATCTTACTTAATCATCCCAACTTTGTGAAATTGTGATGATATTTCCATTTTACCAATGTGGAAGCCCAAGTTCCAAGAGGCTAAAGAATTATGATATTTAACTAATGAGTGACAGAGCTAGGATTTCTCTGAACTCCCACGTTAGCTAGAATTTGAATCCAGTTCTCTGAACTCCCAAGTTCATTATTGTTTCTGTTCTCCTGGTGTCTGACCTGTGGTATAGCTATTAATAAAGGCTATTAAAAGAAACTTCCTCTTCTAGGAAAATGGAGTAGACTTACTTTTCCTTACTCTTCCCACTAAGTACAGCTAAAAACCCTGAATATTATATATAAAACAAGCATAAGAACACTCTGAAAGGTGGGAAGAAGGAAGACTGGCTAGAGACCTCAGCACACAATGAATGTTAGGACATGTTAGGGAGTTCCTGGTTTTTCTTTTTGTTCCATATATCCCAGGCAGAGTACTGGAAAAACTGGCAACCAGAAATCATGGGTGCAGATTTATAAAGGTCTCAGAAAAGCCATCCCTTTCTAGCTGAAGGACTAGGAATTGGGCAATCTAGCAAGGCAGATTACTCTTAGACAAGAACTGTCCATTTTAAGCAGACACCAGGGAAAAAAACTAGCTCCATTCCTGCCAGCAAAGGCTAAGAGCCCAGACATCCACCCTTCTCATGCTATAACAAAGAACCCCATCCTTCCCTCATCCCCCCACCCTGCCCCACAAGGCCCCCATCCCACCTGGGTGATATCAAAGAAGGCTGAGTGGGGAACCAAGACTTTTGTGTCATTCAGGACGTAAGGAAGTCCCCAACCCCATATTGTCAGCAGAGACCACATGGGGAGCCAAGAAGTCCACTGCCACCTGGTAGTAAGAGGTGCCCCATTTCCTCTTTGCTGGGATGATATCAGAAGAGACCTAATGCGGAGTCAGAACCTTTACCACCCTCCAACAGTAACAAGTCCACCCACCCACAGTGGCAGTGGAGGATACGTGGGAGCGGTAATAAGGAGCCTCCATTCTTCCAGCTCTGGTGATATCAGCAGAGGCCTGGTGGGGAGCCCGAAGTCCCATCCCTGCCTAGCCGTCACGAGGAGCCCCACCCTTCCCAGGTGTCAAAGGAGGCCTAGTGGAGAAATTGGGCGTTTACTCCCATCCAACAGTAACAAGGCAGTGTCCCCCTTTTCTTGCTGGAGCGGTGTCACAGGAAGCCTACTGAAAGATAAGAGTCGGTGTCTTAGACTATGAGGTCTCAATTAAAAAAAAAGGAAAAAACACTCCTCATCCCCCAAATCAGGAAGATTTCAACCTCTATGAGAAAAGACAATCAAGAGATGCCAACACAGAGATGAATAAAATATGACAATTATCTGACAAGGATTTTAAATTAGCCATCATATAAATGCTTCAACAAGTAATTTTGAGCATGCTTGAAACAAACAGATAAAGTACAGCCAAGTGGAATTTTGGTAGCAAACAGCCTGTTGGAAATAAAAGATATAAAGTAGAGGCAAGTGGAATTTTGGTAGCAAACAAGCTGTTCTTCAGTAGGTGAATAGAATAAACAAACTGTGGTGTATAATAGAATATTATTCACTGATTAAAAGACATGAGCTATCAAGCCATAAAAAGACATGAAGGAACCTTGAAAGGATATTGTGAGGTGAAAAAAGCCAATCTGAAAAGGTTACATACTCTGTGATTCCAACTATACGAGCTTCTGGGAAAGACAAAACATAGAGACATTAGAAGATGACTGGTTGCCAGGGATTTGGAGGGAGGAAGGGGTGAAGGGAGCACAGGGGATTTTTAGGGCAGTGAAACTATCCTGTATACAGTAATGATGGATACATGTCACTGTACATTTGTAAAAACCCACAGAATCAACAACCCTAAGAGTGAACCCTAATTAAACTCTGGATTTTAGTTAATAATAATGTATAATGTTGGCTCATCAATTGTGACCAATGTACCACACTAAAACAAGATGTAAATAAGGGGAAACTGAGGTGAGTTGGAGGGGGGAGAAGGGGTATGTGGGAACTCTCTGTACTTACTGGTCAATTTTTCTGTAAACCTAAAACTGCTCTAAAAAAAAGTAAGTTCTATTAAAAAAATACATGGGAGAAAAGACTTCCAAATTATGTATCTGATAAGGGATTAATATCCAGAATATATAAAGAAATCCTATAACTCAACAACAAAAAACCCGAAAACAACGCAATTCAAAAATGGCAAAAAACTTGAATAGATGTTTCTCCAGAGAAGATATACAGATGGCCAATAAACATGAAAAGATGCTCAACATCACCAGTCATTAAGGAAATGCAAATCAAAACCACAATGAGATATCACTTCACACCAATCAGGACCACTATTATCAAAAAGCAGAAAATAACAAGTGTTGGTGAGGATGTGGAGAATCTGGAGCTCTTGTGCATTGCTAATGTAAAATGGTTTAAGCATAGTACAAAATTTTGGCAATTCCTCAAAAAGTTAAGTATAGAATTACCATGTGATCCAGCTATTCCACTCCTAGGAATATCCCCCAAAGATTAAAAGCAGGGACTCAAACAGATACTTGTACACCAGTGTTCATAACAGCATTATTTATGATAGCCAAGAGGTGGAAACAACTCAGATTCCATCGATAGATGAATGGATAAACAAAATGGGGTACGTACAAACAATAGAACATTATTCAACCTTAATTCTGAAAGGAGACTACAAGATGGAAGAGCCCTGAAAACAGTGTGCTAATTGAAATAAGCCAGGCACAGAAGGACAAGTATTGTATGATTCCACTTATATGAGGTAGGAAAATTCATAGATAATTATTTAATGGGTACAGAGTTTCAGTTTGTGATGATGAAAAAGTTCTGGAAATGGATATGGGATGGTTGCACAATGTTGTGAATGTACTTAATGCCATTGAATTTTACATTTAAAAATGGTTAGAGTGGTAAATTTTATGATGTTCTATTTTACCACAATAAAAAAGTTTAAAAAAATACAGTAACTGAAATTAAAAACTCAGTGTTCTCAAACAAAAACATGAAGAGGAGGAGAAAAGAATGAATCAGTGAACATGAAGATAGAAATAAAGAAATTACCTGATCTGAACAATAGAGAGAAAATAGATTGAATAAATGTGAACAGAGGCTCAGGGACAGGTGGGAATATAACAAAAGATCTACATTTGGATTGTTGGAGTCCCAGAAAGAGAGGTAAGAGAAGGTGGGGCTGAAAAAATATTCAAAGAAATAATGGCTAAACAGTCCCCAAATTTGGCAAAAGACATAAACAAATGAAAGAAAGTGAGTGAAAAGCTACCAGGAGTCTCCCAAAGAAATCTACACTGAGACACTTCATATTCAAACTGAAAACTAAAGACAAAAAAAATCCTGAAAGAAACAATTCATTATTTATAGGGGAGCACCAATTCAAATGGCAGCAGGTCTGGAAACGAGATCAGAAGGAAGTGGCGCAACATTTTTCAAGTGTTGGAAGAAAAGAACTGTCAACCCAGTGCATATTCTGTATTTAGAAAAGTATGAAGGGAAAAGTAAGAAATGAAGGGAAAATTAAGATATTCTCAGATGAAGAAAACTGAGAATTTGTTGCCAGCAAAGCTACCCTAAAAGAATATCTAAAGGAATTTCTCTAACAAGGAAGGAAGTGGTAAAAGGAGTAGTCTTGGAAGAATAGGAAGGAAGGAGGAACAACATATAGAGCAAAAATATGGGTAAACGTGATCGAATTTCCTTTTCTACTTTTCTAAATTATGTTTGTCGAATGTAGTTCTCAGTGCATGTAGAGGAAATATTTAAGAATTATTTTATTAATAAAGGAGGGTAGAGGGACGTAAAGGGAGGTAAGGTCTCTGCACTTCACTTGAACTGGTAAAATGTAGGCTGTGATAACTTATGAACATATAATGAAACACCTAGAGCAACCACTAAAAATCTGTAAAAAGAGTTATACTCAGAATTGCTATGGATACCTCAAACTGGAATTCTAAAAAATGTTCAAGTAACCCAGAGGAAAGTGGGTAAAACAAAACAGAAAGAAAAATTAAAAAAAAAAACAAAACAGAAAACAACAGAAAAGTCACACTTGAATCTTAACATAAAAGTAAGTACATTAAATATATGTAATCTAAATACACCAATTAGAAGCTAGAAATTGGCAGAGTGGATTAAAAAACCATGACCTAGCATTATGCTGTCTATAAGAAATTCACTTCAAATATAATGATATAGCTAGGTTGAAAGGCATTCAGACCCAAATGAAGAAATAAAACTATCCCTGTTTATAGATAACATGATCTTCTTCCTGGAAAATCTCATACCATCTACAGTGTAAAAACTAGAACTAATAAATGAGTTCAAAAGGTCAGAATACAACACAAACATACTGTATTTTTGTTTTAAATGTATTTATTTATTTATTTTTTGGCTGCGTTGGGTCTTTGTTGCTGTGCGCAGGCTTTCTCTAGTTGTGGTGAGCAGGGGCTATTCTTCGTTGCGGTGCACGGGCTTCTCATTGCAGTGGCTTCTCTTGTTGCAGAGCACGGGCTCTAGGTGCCTGGGCTTCAGGAGTTGTGGCTCGCGGGCTCTGGAGCACAGGCTCAGTAGTTGTGGCACACGGGCTTAGTTGCTCCGCGGCATGTGGGATCTTCCCGGATCAGGGCTCGAACCTGTGTCCCCTGCACTGGCAGGCGGATTCTTAACCACTGCACCACCAGGGAAGCCCTGTATTTTTGTATATTATCAATTAACCTGTGGAAATCTAAATTAAAAATTACATGCCATTTACAATCACTCAAATAGAAAATGGAATCCTTAGATGTAAATCTAACAAAATAAGTATGAACTCACATTCTGAAAACTACAGAATGCTAATAAGAGAAATCTAAGAAGATCTAAACAAATATTCAGGGATTGGTAGCCTCAACATAGTAAGATATCAATTCTCTCCAAATCTATATCCAAGTTTAATACGATTCCCATCAAAATCCCAGCAAAGAACAATTTTGAAAAAGACCAAAGTGGAAAGAGTCATTCTCCTTGATTTAAAAACTTAATATACAGCTACAGTAATCATGACTGTATGGTGTTGCTAGAGGGACAGACATAGATCAGTGATACAGAATAGAGAATCCAGAAATAGCCTTACACGAATACAGCCAAATGATTTTTGACAGAGGTGCAAATGCAATCTGATGAAGAAAGGTAGTCTTTTCAACAAAATGTGCTGGAGCAATTTGATATCTTTTAGGAACAAAAATGAGCCTAGACCTAAACCTCACACCTTATACAAAAATGAACTCAGAATAGATCATAGATTTAAATGTAAAACATAAAACTATGAAAGTTTGAAAAGGTAACATAGGAACAAATCTTCAGGACCTTGGGCTTGCTGAAGAGTTCTTAGACATGACAGCAAAAGTGTGATTCATAAAAGAGAAAATTGATAATTTGAATTTCATCAAGATTTAAGTCTTTTGCTTTGTGAAAGACCCTGTTAATAGGATGAAAAGATAAGCTACAACCCCTGTTTCTGTCAAAGGAATCGTATCTAGAACATGTGGAGAACTCTCACAACTCAACAGTAAAAAGCAAACAATCCAGTTAGAAAATGAACAAAGAATATAAAGACATATTTCACAGGAGGTTGTATTGTTGACAAATAAAAAGATGTTCATCTTTTCTAAACATCAGGGAAATACAAATTAAGACCATGATGAGATAACAATGCACACTGTTAAGAACAGTTAAAATAAAAAATAGTCATGATACCAAATGCTGGCAAGGATGAGGAGAAACTGGATCACTGATACATTCCTGGTGGGAATGGGGAATGGTACAGCTACTCTGGAAAATAGTTTAGTTCTTAAAAAACTAAACATACATTTACCATACAGCCCAGCAATTGCACTCTTGGGAATTTATTCCAGAGAAATGAAAACTATGTCCACTCAAAAACCTGTATACAGTTATACAGTTGTTCATAGCAGCTTTATTTGTTATAGTCCCAAACTGGAAACATCTAAAACTTCCCTTAATTGGTGAATTATTAAACAAACCGTGGTAATCCATACCATGAAATATTATTCAGCAATAAGAAGGAATGAACTGTTGATCCACTTAACAACTTAGATGTCAGGGTCACTGTGCTGAGTGAAAAAGCCACCGTCAACAGATAGCATACTGTGATCTCTATCACATGATTCTATTTATGTAACATTCTCAAAATGGCAAAATTATTATAGAGATTAGTGGTTGCTAAGAGTTATGGGTGGGGAGGGAAGGCTGTGACTATACAGGAGTAACGGGAGGGTGATCTTTGTGGTGATGGAATAGTTCTGTGTCTTATTGAGGTGGTAGTTACAGCATTTTACACGCGATAAAATGGTGTAGAACAATAGGCACACGTTGTACCAATGTCAAATCTCTGGGTTTGATATTTTACTGTAATTTAAGATGTAACTGTTTGGGGAAACCAGGTTAAAGGCACATGAACCTCTGTACTACGTTTGCAACTTCCCGTGAACCTTTAGTTATTTCAAAATAAAAAGGTTTTTTTTTTTGCAAGTTTTCTTTGTTAAATAAAAGCTACTTTTTGAGTACCTATTGTCTGCCAAAAATTTTACTTGAACTTTTATATCTCTCTAACTACACCCTGAAAATTGTAGGTATTCTCTCCATTTAACAGATGAAACTCAAGAAGCTTCCATTTATTTTTTTCTGAAGTCAGATGCATCTCTTAGGATCAAGAAAATATGGTAAATTGTCTGAGGTTAAGTGACTGGTGAGGAACTGCAGCAGGATTTAAACCTGTCTGCCTCAGTCCAAAGCCCACATCCTTTGTAACGTCCTCTTCTAAAGTACTTGTGTCTTGGAATTAAGTAAAAGTGGGGCTTGATGTCAAGGTGAGGGAAGTGTTCATTTATTTATTTATAATGTATTTGTTTTATTCATTTAATAATTGAGCATCATGTGCTAGATATATAATAAATGATACAGAAAGGAGAGGTATGTTGATACAGAAATTAGAGACATGATCCCTTTAAAGTTGCTTAGAACTTAGTGGAAGGGACAGGGAAACAAATGATTATAACACATCTTATAAAATACTAAGATAAAAATATATAAGAAGCTGTATGGGAGCCCAGAGAAGAAAAGCGTGTAACCTTTCCTGGTGGGAGGTCAGGAAACATTTTTAGCATGTTCTTGTTGCTCAGAGACGTGGCCCTGTTGAAGCCATGAACAAAGACAAAAAGATAGATAAATTGAAGTTTGTTTATCCCTATAGTTAAAAAAAATGCTAGTAATGAAAAGAGGTAATAAGAGTGCGGGAAAGTAAAGAAACAGTGAAAGCATGGATAAGAAGAGCAAACAGGAAATCATTGCATGGTTTCTGTACTAGTTGCTAGAGGTGAGCTGCAGATTTCTTTAAAATTACTACAGGCAAAAGCAACAAGGAAATTGTAAAGTAATTCACGGTACAAAGAATAAAAACAAACCAGGTATACAAAAGAAGCACATGTTTTTCTGAAATTGAGACCTGAGCGAAGTTTTCCCTGAGGATTCTTTTTTTTTTTTTATGGTACGCGGGCCTCTCACTGTTGTGGCCTCTCCCGCTGCGGAGCACAGGCTCCGGACGCTCAGGCTCAGTGGCCATGGCTCACGAGCCTAGCCGCTCTGCGGCATGTGGGATCCTCCCGGACCGGGGCACGAACCCGTGTCCCCTGCATCAGCAGGCGGACTCTCAACCACTGCGCCACCAGGGAAGCCCCCTGAGGATTCTTATAGAGAGGGTTCTGTGATATAGTATATAACATTTTCAATAAATTTCCTAACAGGTTTTAAAATGAGTTTAGCAAGTTTCTTACAGCATGTCTAGAGCTTAGGTGTATATTGGAGATGGTGGAGAGGGCTTGGACAGGGCAGTAGGCCTGGGACCACAAATGGTATTTGTTCATCTTATTCTCAGTGTAATGAAGCACCATAAGGCTACAGGAATTACTTCAAATCTGCATTTTCAAAGAATTTTTAGCTGTAGTTGGGAGAATGCCAAAAAAGAAGAGAGTAAGAGGTATTGCTGAAATTCAGCCTGGTTGTGATAAAAGGCTCAACTACAGAAATAAGTGCATTTACAGTTTGCCTTTTTGCTTTTTAAAAAATTCTTCAAGTTTTTTTTTTTTTGTCTCCTGGTTTTGACAATTTAAACTCTTTTCCTGTAAATCTCACAAGTTAGTGTGCCTTACAAAATACCAAAGTGAGAATTGGATTAAAATAATGGCTTTTATTGTGCTTCTTGAGTATAATAAATGTCATTGTGGTATAGTTAGTTATATATAATTCATGACCTCTAGGATATTTCTTTATATAGTGATAAATAATAAAGTTTATATTTTTAAAGAAAACTTTGTTGATTTTGATGGTTTGGAAAGAGCTCTCTCTAGTTACTTGAAAAGGGCAAGGTTACAGCAAAAATAATGTTAGAACTAAGAATAATGTTACATAAGAGATTTAGCAATTTTAGATGCTCTTTAAAGACCAAGACTGTTTTTTTCTTCTGTCTTTTCACATCTTGCACACACAGTGCCTTGACTATAGTAGATGCTCAATAAATATTTGTTAAATATACAGTGAGAGACAAATCCTGTGGAAAAGGGCTTTGTGCCACCCCTTTATCTCAGATATTTCTCTTACGGCACTTAATATACTGTATATGTATTTCCACAAGTAAACAATACATTCTCGGAGGCAGATAGCTAACCTATCTTTGTATCTGTTGAATTTAACATAGTTCTTGACATATTATCATTATTCAATCGGTATAACATATCTTTTTTCCTTTAAAGGCATTTGGATACCTTCGTGATAGAAAAGGCCCTTTTCTTCATCCATTGATGGTTTGATAGTGGGCTAGGAAAGAAAGCTGTGGTCCTCCGCATAAGTCAGCAGATACTTGATTGATTTGGTATTTAGCTTAGTCAAGTAAGTTACTGATATGTTCAAAAGGACTTTTCTAAAGAGTTAACATATTTTGATGACAGTAGTTAGAAACTTAATTCTAAAGAATGCCTAATTGATGATATTAATTATTTAAATTAAATAATTTCAAGACTGGTTTCTTTTCTGCAGATATAAATATTTGGCAATTTTTCTAATAGTTTTGTTAAATATCAACACTAAGTGTTTTTTTTGTTATTAAGCTGTAAATTGTTTTGAGAATTATAGCTATAAACCTTTAAATTTTCACTTAGTATATTTTTTTCAGATAGGTAACACAGTCACATGGTACAAAATCCAGAAAGTAAAAAAAGATATATAGTTAAGTCTCCTTGCCAGGGAAGCAAACCTCCCTTCCTGAATCTAGTCACCTAGTTGTTCTCCTCAGAGGGAAGCTAAGGAAATAGTTTAATTTGATGATTTTCTTTCTACTTGTAACAGATTGAAGATCTCAAACAGACAAATCATGGCTTGGAAGAATGTGTTAGGAAACTCTTGGATGGTAAGGAGGTGGTAAGCAGTCAAATAGAGGATTTAACCAGCCACAATGAGCATCTTTGTCAAGAACTGATTAAAATTGACCAACTAGCAGAGCAACTAGAAAAAGAGAAAAAGTCTGTGGTGGATACTGCCAACAAGGAACTTGAAGAAGCAAAGGTATTAGATTGATCACTGATCAGGTTTTTTTTTTTAATTGAGGTATAATTGACATATAACATTATATTAGTGTACAACTAGTGTACAATTATATTCAGGTGTACAACATAATGATTCAATATTTGTATGTATTGTGAAATGATCACCACAAGTCTAGGTAACATCCAACTACTGATCAGGATTTTAATTCTACTTTAAACATCATATAGTTATTAATGCAGTGGAAAAAGTGGCATTCTCATTTACATCATTTGAAAGTTTTTTAGATTTGACATTGTAATTAAATGTCTATTCTAAGGATTAAATTGTTTTGTGTTTCACATTTTATTTCTTTTAAAAATTTTTACCCAAAAATTTTCCTAAGTAATATGTAGTCATAGTAAAAACTCAAAGCAATGGGAATGTTCTGTATATAGAACATTTCTCTTTCTCCCTAATCCTTTTTTCCTCTGCAGAGGTATCTACCAACAAGTATATATATATATATTTCCATTCTTCTTTTCTGTTTTCACACATACACAATTTATTATAATTATATAATTATAATTTACACATTCACACTTTTAAAAAAGGTGGGTTTTTTTAAACCAAAGCTTTTAAATTTCTATGTAGTCAAATTTGTCAATCTTTACTGAATTCTGAGTTTTGATCTTTTATTTTTTGAGGTCCCACCCCCTTTTAAAACATTTGAATGAGACTTCCCTGGTGGCGCAGTGGTTAAAAATCCACCTGCCAGCGCAGGGGACACAGGTTTGATCCCTGGCCCGGGAAGATCCCATATGCTGCAGAGCAACTAAGCCCGTGTGTCACAACTACTGGGCCTGCGCTCTAGAGCCCACAAGCCACAACTACTGAGCCCGTGTGCCTCAACTACTGAAGCCCTCGGGCCTAGAGCCCATGCTCCACAAGAGAAGCCACTGCACTGAGAAGCCTGCACACCGCAATGAAGAATAGCCCCTGCTCACCGCAACTAGAGAAAGCCCACACGCGCAGCAACAAAGACCCAATGCAGCAAAAATAAATAAAATAAATAAAAATTTAAAAATATATATTTGAATAGACTTTATTATTTTAGAGCAGTTTTAGGTTCATAACAACGTGAAGCAGAAGGTAACAGAGATTTCCCATATACTCCCTGCCCCCACACATGCCTAGTCTCCCCCATTATCCACAATCCCCCACCAAAGTGGCATATTTGTTACATTTTATGATAAAGAATTGACATATTGGGACTTCCTTGGTGGCACAGTGGTTAAGAATCCGCCTGCCAATGCAGGGGACACAGGTTCGAGCCCTGGTCTGGGAAGATCCCACATGCTGCAGAGCAACTAAGCCCATGCATCACAACTACTGAGCCAGCACTCTAGAGCCTGCAAGCCACAACTACTGAGCCCATGTGCCACAACTACTGAAGCCTGTGTGCCTAGAGCCCATGCTCCACAACAAGAGAAGCCACTGCAATGAGAAGCCCGCTCACCACAACAAAGAGTAGCCCCCGCTCGCCACAACTAGAGAAAGCCCGTGCACAGCAACGAAGACCCAATGCAGCCAAAAATAAATAAATAAATAGATAAATAAATTTATTAAAAAAAAGAATTGACATATCATGATCACCCAGAGTCCATAGTTTACATTAGGGTTCACTCTTGGTGTTGTACATGCTATGGATTTGAACAAATGTAAAACGACATGTACCTACCATTATAGTATCAGAGTAATTTCACTGCCCTAAAAGCCCTCTATCTCCACCTAAGGTTTTTTTTTTGGGTGGGGGGATACGTGGGCCTCTCACTGTTGTGGCCTCTCCCGTTGCGGACCACAGGCTCCGGATGCGCAGGCTCAGCGGCCAGGGCTCGCGGGCCCAGGCGCTCTGCGGCATGTGGGATCTTTCCGGACTGGGGCACGAACCCGCGTCCCCTGCATCGGCAGGCGGACTCTCAACCACTGCGCCACCAGGGAAGCCCTCTCCACCTAGTTTTGAACCTTATTTAGGAAGGCCTTCTCACCTCAAGAACTACAAGAATATTTTCTACAGTTTTCTTTAAAGAATTCTTAACATGTATATTTAAAGTTTTAATCCTTCTGGAATTTCTTTTTGTTCTAGTATGAGGTATGGTTGAATAGTCCTTTCTTCAGTCACTGATTTAAAGCGCCATTTTAACAGCTACTGAATTCTTGTACGTGCATGGATATGTTTCTGGACGATTTGGTTTCATTGATTCATTTGCCATCTTCTATGCCACTACCGTATTATTTTAATAACTATAGCTTTATGATATTTTGATAAACATTTTATTTCTTGATTAAATTTTAGTACCCTACCATGACCTTTAGAAACTAGGAATTTAAACACTACTATAAAATGAAGACTTTGATTTCTCATTGTTGTCTAATGGCTTACAGGCAAGACACATGGTATATGTGAAAGCCAGAAAACAACCTGTTGAAATTTTAAATGATAACATGTGCTTATTCATCTTGATTTTATTAATCACCAAATTAGTAAATTGTGTCTGTAAGATGGTAGTTTCCCAAAGCTAATTGTTATTACATGTTATTTCATACACATCCTTTTAATATACTCTTGGTAGCATATATAATAAAGCATATATTATTATATAATATAATAAAATAAAAATATATTATTTATTATAATAATTTAATAAAGCATATTATATGGTACTCTTGGTAGCATATGATAAAGCACTTAAATGATCAGGCTATAAACCTAAGTGTTATTGAAGACATTATTTGTTACAGTAATTTGAAACCTAAGAACCTACTTAATGAACACTAGGATGGTATTTGTTTACATACAGTAGCCTCACTTATTTAGAGTGTGTAAAGGATAAGTCTGTATTAATGAAAAGTCTGAATAATGGAATATTTAAATACATGAAGTTTATTACTTTAATATAAGGACACAATCTTCCCGGAGGAAGATTGTGTTGCCTGGAGGAGGTCCTTAGGAGAACTATTTGAGAGAGTAGATAAGAATGATTTGTTTTTAACTTGCAAATTATTTATCTTGTAATAGTTGTTACCAAAGTATTTGAAGGGTATTTAAAAGTAACTTAACTATTTTAAACATTCTCAACAAACTTTTTTGTTTGTATTGTTTCTTTTTTAATAATAGTTATCATTCATTCACAGTTTAATGGTAAATTGAGTTCAGTCTTAATTATAAAAATTGTCAAAAAACACTGGATTGATGTTTTATTATGTCTTTCTTGTTTTCTTCTTCAAATTTAAAATTAACAGCACTCCTTCCCAGACTGTGGGAAGCCTAGTTGGCCAAATTCCCATAAAGAGAATGCCTGGTTTAGAAGTCATCAATTTTAAAGGGTTGTTAGGGTCTATGTTCTAGAGAGAGTGAGTACTCTTTGAGGATGAATCCTCTGCTATCAAAAGGAAGAATTTCAGGAATGCAGAACATCTAAAATAAAAGAGCTAGGATTTACCTAAAACTGAAAATATTAAATTCATAGATGGAAATTCTGCCTAGCTCAGAAAAGAGTGTTTCTAGGAAATAGATATCCATATATATATGATTTGGAATGTTTGGTGTATTCGAGAATTGGAAAGCTATTTGTAGAAGAGGTGGACTGTAGTCTTAGGGTAGAGATAACATTGCTGATGCAGGGAAAACATTGGGAAGTTAATAAAGAGAGGACAAAATGGAAATAGGTCCTTTGTGTTGGTAAAATGCCCTGAAATGAAAACACCAACCTCAGTGAGGGGATGTTCCAGGTAGAATGGGGATTAGAAAGATGCGTGAAAGGTGCTGGGAATGTGAATACCAATGCGTGTTGTTATCATCATGAAGTCATTGGGTGTACAGTTTAGGCATCCAGTCACTGGGGAGAGATTCCTTGTCTGATTTGTGAGATGAGACTTGAAACAAGAGAATTTCTAATTTGAGAGCTGAGAATGTTTGGGTCCCTGTACTATTTGAGATTATTCTTTAGATATGTGGAGGTAGAGTCTGAGGCTAAAACTGCTGTTTGTCTAGAATTGAGATAGTATTAAATTTATTTACTCAGAAGAGTTTACTTTTAGTCATATTTTTAAAGTCCACTGAGTAACTTCTTCCATCATTCATTCCATGAAAATGTTTTGAGGATTTGCTATTGTATTATCTATCACTATGTAACAAGTTACCCCTAAATCTTAATGACTTCAAACAACAAACATTTATATCTCACAGTTTTAAGTGCAGCTTAACTAAGTAGTTCTAGTTCATGGTTTCTCAGGAAATTGAAATCGAGCTGATGGCCAGTCTGCAGTCATGGCTTGATTGGTACTGGAGGATTTGCTGTTAAGATGACTTATTCAGATGGCTCTTGGCTTTTGACAGGAAGCTTAGTTCCTTGACATGTGAACCTCTCCCTAGGTTGTTTGATATATTCTTTTTTTAAAAATATAAGTTTATTTATTTATTTACTTTTGTTTGCATTGGGTCTTCATTGCTGCGCGTGGGCTTTCTCTAGTTGCGGTGAGTGGGGGCTACTCTTCATTGCGGTGCGTGGCCTTCTCATTGAGATGGTTTCTCTTGTGGAGCACGGGCTCTAGGCACACGGACTTCAGTAGTTGTGGCATGCGGGCTCAGTAGTTGTGGTTCTCAGGCTCTAGAGTGCAGGCTCAGTAGTTGTAGCTCGTGGGCTCTACAGTGCAGGCTCAGTAGTTGTAGTGCACAGGCTTCAGTAGTTGTGGCACGTGGGCTCAGTAGTTGTGGCTTGCAGGCTCTAGAGCACAGGTTCAGTAGTTGTGGCGCACGGGCTTAGTTGCTCTGCGGCATGTGGGATCTTCCCAGACCAGAGCTCAAACCTGTGTCCCCTGCATTGGCAGGCGGATTCTTAACCACTGCGCCACCAGGGAAGTCTCTTGATATATTCTTTATGGCATCTGGCTTCCCATTGGAGCCAGTGATCCAAAAGAGACAACAAGGAAGAATTTCCAGTGCCTGTTATGATCCAGTCTCAAGAGTTACATACAGTCACTTCCACCATATCCTGTTCTTCAGAAGTGAGTCACTAAGTATAGACCACACTTAAGGGGCAGAGAAATTAAGCTCCATCTTTCGAAGGAAACAGTATCAGAATTTTGGGACATATTTTAAAGCTTCCACAACCGTAAGCCTTCTTTGATCTTTTCTTCTTGAGTTGTTATCATTCATGACTTAATGCAGTGTTTCCCAGATTACTGAACACAAGTTTGTGAAATATGAAGAAACAGAGTTGCAATTTTATCGTTACTATTTCTTCATACAGTTTATATCTTTAATTAACATGGGGCCATTATTGGACTGGATCTCTGGTAGCTCTTGTCATTACTATTACTTTGTATGTGATTCGGTCAAAAATGCTTCAGAACCTACTATGAGGAAGACGTAAAGCCTGTATCAGGCGTAAAGGCGTAAAGGCGTAAAGCCTGTATCAGTTTCTGACCTACACCCCCAACCACACATGCTTATTCCCTCTCTCTCTCCCTGATTCATTTTTCTCTAGCACTTTCCTACTACTTTCCTCCTTCTTCCCTCTGCTGCAGCCACACTGACCTCCTTACTATTCCTTGGAATTTAGCAGACAATCTTTTGCCTTTTGCTATAGCTGAATGTTCTGCCTGGAATATTCTCCCGAATTTTTACATGGTTGACTCCCTCAGTGAGGACTTCCCTGATCACCCCCTTTAAAATTCCAGCCTATTCCTTCATAAACACTCCCAATATTCTTAAGGATATTGCTCTTTTTTTCTAATGTAGTATGTAATTTATTCGTCAGGTTTATTTTTTGTTGTCTATCCAGCTGGAATGTAAGCTGTCCAAAGGCAAGGATCTTTGTCTATTTTATTCCCTTTTAAAAAATCTTAAGTATAGAACAGATGTGAGTACTCATTATATATTTTTGAATGACACAATGACTATCTGATATATACTTTACCTATTATCTTTTATTTTTCTCTTTTCAATGAGAATGTAAGCTCCATGAGGGTAGAGGTTTCTGTCTGTGTTATTCACTGCTATAGCCAGCAAATAACACAATGTCAGACACATAGTAGACACTCATTAAACAATTGTCAAATAAATGGAAGCACTGGGCTGGCATCTTTTCATTTGAGCCAGTTATAAGTTTGTTTTTCAGAATGGAATAAGCATTAATGTTTTTATCTTTATAAAAGTAATACATTTTTTTCTAATAGAAGAGTATAATGAAGAAAATAATTTGTACTGTTAATCACACCTTGCTATACCTAGACATAATCTATCTTGTGCAATTTACTTATTGGTTATGTTCCATCTGTATCTAGGATATGTGTGTATGAATTTATTTTTTACAAGAATGTGTCATACTAGATAAAATTTTTGGCAGTGTGAGTTTTTATACTTAATATATATGGACATCTTTGCACATAATTCAGTATAGATCCATTTTTTTTAGTGTCTACATAGTAGTACACATTAAAGCATTGAAAAATTATCAAAATTATCCAAAACTATATATAACCTTATCCAAACTGTATGTAAGTTATATTCTATACCATAACACCCCTTAGTATATCATAAACTAAAATATAACTACCAGAGAAATCTTAGAACTTTGGTCTAAAGAACAAATGAGAAGGAATAATTGCAGAAAATTCAAATTTAAAATATAACAGGAGACATTTGTGATTAGAATAACAAGGGAGAGATTTGCGAATTGAGAAATCCATTAAACTAATATGCCAACTTTTAACAAAGAGAGTTACAGCTTTACATAAAAACATAGTCACTATCCTCCAGGAACGTACAATCTAGTCATAGACTAGATATATGATTGCAGGTGGCTATACTGTAAGACTTTTAAGACAATGTTATAAAACTGATACAAAAAGTATTTTGTGGGTTAGATTGAACTAAACTATTAAAAGAATTCAGAGGAAAGAGCAATCACTTCTGACTATGGTGACTTGGGAAAACTTATTCTAGTCATTCTTTTGACTCTTCTACATTATCATCTTCAAAATTATAATTAGTATTAACAGTTTGTTCCAGTTTATGAGGAGCAATTTGACAAAATAAAATCAATTAGTATTTTATACAAAACATTAGACAATTTAAAGGAACTGCTTCATTTCATTCTAGGTTCTTTTACCATCAAAAGTAGGTAAACATAAGAGTGGATTATCTTTTCTTTCATAAAGTATTCACTGTCTGCATGTTTTTATTTTTAAGCAGCTCCTGTTTTTGATGCTCTCTTTCCAGTGAAATCAGTTTAAACATTTTACACCTAAATAACAATTTTTTCTGGCTTGTTTTTCAGATTGAACTCATTTGCCAGCAAAATAATATAATAGTATTGGAAGATACAATAAAAAGACTCAGATCTGTAAGCACATTTTTCATAAATATATATTAAGGAATCATTTTTATTCTGTTAGTAGGACAGCAAAAATTGTACATATGTTTTGGCTCTCATGCATTTTGTGAACAGTAAAAAATGTTTGTTTTCTAAAATCAGCACGCTCTGCTTGATGCCCAGGGGTACTCCCATCCGTAAGAGCGATGCTATTCTTGCTCTATTTCATCATTACTTCTTTCTTTCCTAGAGCTGGAGAGAACTTTTGGTTGGTTTTATTAATGCTCTTAGCTGTTACTTGATTAAAATGACGGCTGTGAGTAATTTAATTCTCAAAATGTAAGATGTATTTGTGTACACATTTATTCCTCTTAATAATAAATATTTTAAAGTCAAATGTTGTTACTTAGTTCTGAGTAATATGTTCTCTTTAACAATGTGAAATGAAAATTGCTCTGATTAGACATTTTAGTGTTATCATTTAAAATATTTGAAACATCCTCTCTAAAATATCTGTACTTTTTTCCCAATAAAGTATTGGTAAAATAAATATTGTAAAACAAATGTTTCTAAATATATTAAAGTGAATGGAAATGCACTTGAAAGTATATACACGTATAGAATATACAGCATTCATTTAATTTATTCATTCATTGAATGATTATTGAACAAAATTGAACGCTATGAACAGGTGCTTTAATAGTAGCATACAAGTTTCTCTAAGCAAATTAATTCCATTTTTAGGATTTGTTACTAGATCTGATACAAGAAACAATTCTGGCCTCTCTGAAATTTCTTTACTATTTTTTCTTCAAAGTTATTGAGTAAATGTAGGGACATTTTCAGTGAAATAAAAATACACTACATTCAGAAATGCTGGAAAAGAAAGGTATCTAACTGCTTTTTAAAAAGTATTGATGAATTATTATTTTTTGAATTATTTTCAAAATACCAAATTTATTATTTTTAAGGATCCTGTTTGCTTTCAACTTTCATTTAGAAAATGATGCTATAGTTTAGCTTGAAATAATGGCCTAATTTTTTCCTCCTTGGCAAGATAATTTTAGAGACTGAAAAAGCACAAAATAAATCTCCTTCCAGACTTGATTCCTTTGTCAAAACTTTAGAAGCAGACAGAGAATACTACAAGAGAGAAGCTCAAAATTTGAGAAAGATGATCAGAAGTAGATCTAAAAGCCCAAGACGCCCATCTCCATCTTCCCGGGTAGGTTTTGGAAACTTATAAATACTTTGGAGTTTGTTGCTCAGTGACTTTTATTCTTTGATTTATCTAATCTGGAAATAATTCCTTTTAATTTGGCATGAATTGGTATACCAACGAGGATGGGAGACAGAGCTCTCTTTGATAGCACAGTGGACCGTTGAAATTGGCCTTTATCCCCAGCATTAGTAGTGGTTGGGGGTAATCATACAAATGTGGAGCAATTTGGGATGAAGTTGATTAAAAGAGAGGCGATTTTTAAACTTTTTTCATCATTTCATTATATCGTCATGTTTGCTTAACTAGAGATTGTGTGCTGCCATCAGTAGCACCTTTCTATCAGTAACACATGTCAAAGAATAATTTCAGATTTCTTTTTTAAAAAATTTTATTGAAGTATAGTTGATTTACAATGTTCTGTTTAATTTCTGCTGTATAGCAAAGTGACTCAGTTATACATATGTATTCTTTTTCATATTCTTTTCCATTTTGGTTTATCACAGGATATTGAATATAGTTCCCTGTGCTCTACAGAAGGACCTTGTTGTTTATTCAGATTTCTTATGTAATAATTGTAGGGTACAAAGTGTGATGTAGAGCTTTTGAAGACAACAAGAGACCGTGAAGAGCTCAAATGCATGCTGGAAAAATATGAGCGTCATTTGGCAGAAATTCAGGGTAATGTCAAGGTTCTCACATCTGAGAGAGACAAGAGCTTTTTTCTGTATGAGCAGGTAAACTTATTTATAAGTAAACAAAATACATAAATACTAACAATTCTAGAGATAGGTAATTCTTTAAGTTCTATGAGAATGCTTAAATCTGTCAATCAAATTAATCTAACATTTGGGAATTGCCTTTGTTCTTATGATATTCTTAATGAAATGTAATGTATTTGTGTATGTGTACACACACACACACACACACACACACACACACACACACACACACACACGTTATCCCCGTATCCGAAAAAGCTCATATGCATGCATCGGAATAGTCTGATTTTTGGAATAAGAAATGGGGAAAGTGTTAAATGATAGGGTGTGGTGAGTTCAAGGTAAAAAATTTGGACTTGGGGGTTAAAAAATACAAACACATCACTTTGATGTACTGTCAGTCACTTTAGGAATTGCCATATAATTTAATATAGAGAGTAAAACTAGTTTGTAGTTTATCTCTATTTTTAGCTTAAGATTATATAACCCTTATTAATCAAATGGCTTCTTGACTCAACAAATAAACCCCATACATCACCAATATAATTTATTTTAAAAATATCAAATTTTATTAAGAATTACAGCTACTAAGTGCAGGGTTCTGGACTTGCTACTCTAAAAGATAGAAAAAATAAACCAGACACTGTTTTATATGTTTGCAATCTAGTTGGGGAGATAAAATATATTATCTTGTATTTACTTTTTGTTACTTTAGCGTAAGTAGTCTAGAAGATACTGTAAGAAATAAAAGAGGTGAGTACTTTTAGTTATGGTTATCAAGATCTTTGCTAGACGATGTGGAGTTTGAGTCCTGAAGGATGAATGGGGTTTCTTTTATCTTGAAAGGGGTAAGAAAGAACATTCCAGACTAAAGGAATGGTATGAAGCAAAGGATAAAGGTGGGAAAGTCAGTACATAAATGGATCAGTTTATGACTAGAATAAAAGTATATGTCAGTGGAGTAAGGGCTTGAGAGGTAGACTAGACTAGAGCAGGAGTCTGAGAACATTTTCTGTAAGGCCCAGATAAGAAATAGCTTGGGCTTTGCAGGCCATGTGACTTCTGACACAGCTATTCAACTCTATTGTTGTAGTGTGAAAGCAGCTATAGATCATATACAAATGAATGAGTTTGGCTGTGTTCCAGTATAATTTATTTATGAACACTGAAATTTGAGTTTCATATTCTTTTTACCTGTTGTGAAATATTCATCTTGTTTTGATTTTTTTTTAACCATTTAAAAATATAAAAAACATTTTCAGCTTACAGAGTTACAAAAATAGGCAGGCTGGATTTGGCCTGTGAACTATATATAGTTTGCCAATTTCTAGACTACATGGTAGAAGCTGTTCAGAGGGCCCTGTAGGAGGTTTATACTTTGCTTTCTTATAAGCAATGGACAGTCTGTTTTTTTTTTAAAGTGGAAGAAATATGATGAAATCTACATTTTTACAATTTTAATCTGGTAACAGTTCTTTATTATCTCTTACGTAATCTTTCTATGTTATCATCTTATATAACAATTTCTCCTTCAGGAGATTTGGAGGAGGGGGAAACCATGGACTCTTTTTTTTTTTTAAATTAATTAATTTATTTGTTTATATTTTTGGCTGCATTGGGTCTTTGTTGCTGAGCGCGGGCTTTCTCTAGTTGCGGTGAGCAGGAGCTACGCTTCATTGCAGTGTGTGGGCTTCTCATTGCTGTGGCTTCTTTTGTTGCTGAGCATGGGCTCTAGGCGTGTGGGCTTCAGTACATGTGGCATGCATGCTCAGTAGTTGTGGTCCACGGGCTTAGTTGCTCTGTGGCATGTGGGATCTTCCCAGACCAGGGCTCAAACCTGTGTCGCCTGCATTGGCAGGCGGATTCTTAACCACTGCACCACCAGGGAAGTCCCCATGGACTCTTTAGAAGGCTGTTAACAGTAGTCCATGCATGAAGCATTAAGGGACTAACCTAGGGTGTGATCAGTGGAAATAAAGATAGGGACAGATGCAAAAGACACTGAAAAGGAAGACTTAACAAGACTTGATTTTAGCACAAAGGAGGGACAAATGGAGATCACTGAAGTTCTGTTTTGAATGACTGAAGAATTGTGGTAATAGAAAAAGAAACAGGAAAGTCATCAGTGGTTTGAGAGAAAAGATGTGTTTGGTTTCAGAGAGATAGAGTAAGATGATGGCGGTACATCAGGTAGTAACTGCCATCAGGCAGTAAGAAATGTGGGACTGGAGTGGGGAGAGAGGCAAGAGCTGAGTATGTAGATTGAGAAGTCGTCTGTTTTGAGCCTTCAGAATGGATGAAGTTTCTGAATGAGAAAGCTATAAATAGAGTAACAGAGAAGTCAAGATGGAATCTTGGGAAGTTTTATTCAATTGGTAGAGGAACCTTTGAAAGAGATAAAGAAGACAGGAAACTAAGGCAGAACATTGTTATACGCCCAAGGAAGGAAGGAATCTCAAGGAGAGTGTTGAAGGCAATGGCAAGTGTTGCCGAAATATCAAGAACAGGAACTGAGAAGAGGCCATTAGATTTGGTGAGGTCATTACATGAAATTCTGCAGAGTGGTGGGTGTGGGAGTCAGGTTAGACTGGGGAGAGAGAGTGGGAGGTAAGGAACAGTCAAGATGTACAATCCATGGCACTAAAAAAAAAAGCCTGTCAAAGGAAAAAGAGACATTTGATGGTAAATGGGGCAGCAGGATTTAGTGACAGTTTTTCAAGATATGGGAGTTGTGTGCATGGTTGACGAAGTAGAGAAAGAGTCAGTGGAGAGGATGATATTCAAAAAAAAGTAGGATGTGAAACAAAAGTAGGATTCAAAAAGTAGGATATGAAATCATCTGTAGATATAGAATAGATTTGGAACCCGAGGATGGTTGTTGAACAAGTGTGTAAAGAGTTTGTTGGGTTGTCAGTAAGGATTGATGGGCCCTTCTGTCAGGGTAAAAGTAGCCAGGACATGGAAATGGCATATACATTTTGGAGAGAAAGACTGGAACGCTATGATATTTTTTAAACCAGTATTCTACCTGAGTTGTGCTGAATTCAAATTTCACAAAATGGATGGAGTAAACCCACAGCCAACATCATTCTCAATGGTGAAAAACTGAAAGCATTTCCTCTAAGATCAGGAACGAGACAAGGTTGCCCACCCTTGCCACTGTCTTTCAACATAGTTTTGGAAGTTTCAGCCACGGCAATCAGAGAAGAAAAAGAAATAAAAGGAATCCAACTCAGAAAAGAAGAGATAAAACTGTCACTGTTTGCAGATGACATGATACTATACGTAGAGAATCCTAAAGATGCTACCAGAAAACTACTAGAGCTAATCAATGAATTTGGTAAAGTAGCACGATACAAAATTAATGCACAGAAATCTCTTGCATTCCTATATACTAATGATGAAAAATCTGAAAGAGAAGTTAAGGAAACACTCCCATTTACCATTGCAACAAAAAGGTAAAACACCTAGGAATAAACCTACCTATGGAGACAAAAGACCTGTATGCAGAAAACTATGAGACACTGATGAAAGAAATTAAAGATGATACAAATATATGGAGAGATATACTATGTTCTTGGATTGGAAGAATCAGCATTGTGAAAATGACTATACTACCCAAAGCAATCTACAGATTCAATGCAATCCCTATTAAACTGCCAGTGGCATTTTTCACAGAACTAGAACAAAAAATTTCACAATTTGTATGGAAACACAAAAGACAACAGCTAAAGCAATCTTGAGAAAGAAAAACGGAGCTGGAGGAATCAGGCTTCTGGACTTCAGACTATACTACAAAGCTAAAGTAATCAAGACAGTATGGTACTGGCACAAAAACAGAAATAGAGATCAATGGAACAGGATAGAAAGCCCAGAGATAAACCCATGCACATATGGTCACCTTATCTTTGATAAAGGAGACAAGACTATACAGCGGAGAAAAGATAGCCTCTTCAATAAGTGGTGCTGGGAAAACTGGACAGCTACATGTACAAGAATGAAATTAGAACAGTTCCTAAAACCATGCACAAAAATAAACTCAAAATGGATTAAAGGCCTAAATGTAAGGCCAGACATTATAAAACTCTTAGAGGAAAACATAAGCAGAACACTCTATGACATAAATCACAGCAAGATCCTTTTTGACCCTCATCCTAGAGAAATGGAAATAACATAAAAGTAAACAAATGGCACCTAATGAAGGTTTTGCACAGCAAAGGAAACCATAAACAAGACGAAAAGACAACCCTCAGAATGGGAGAGAATATTTGCCAACGAAGCAACTGACAGAGGATTAATCTCCAAAATATACAAGCAGCTCATGCAGCTCAATATCAAAAAAAAAAAAAAAAACCCAATCCAAAAATTGGCAGAAGACCTAAGTAGACATTTCTCTAAAGAAGATATACAGATTGCCAACAAACACGTGAAAGGATGCTCAACATCACTAATCATTAGAGAAATGCAAATCAAAACTACAATGAGGTATCACCTCACAACAGTCAGAATGGCCATCATCAAAAAATCTAGAAACAATAAATGCTGGAGAGGGTGTGGAGAAAAGGGAACCCTCTTGCACTGTTGGTGGGAATGTAAATTGATACAGCCACTATGGAGAACAGTATGGAGGTTCCTTAAAAATCTAAAAGTAGAACTGCCATATGACCCAGCAATCCCACTACTGAGAAAACCATAATTCAAAAAGAGACATGGTTCATTGCAACACTATTTATGATAGCCAGGACATGGAAGCAACCTAAGTGTCCACTGACAGGTGAATGGATAAAGAAGATGTGGCACATATATACAATGGAATGTTACTCAGCCATAGAAAGAAATGAAATTGAGTTATTTGTAGTGAGGTGGATGGACCTAGAGTCTGTCATACAGAGTGAAGTAAGTCAGAAAGAGAAAAACAAATACCGTATGCTAACACATATATATGGAATCTAAAAAAAAAATTGTTCTGAAGAACCTTGGGACAGGACAGGAATAAAGATGCGGTTGTAGAGAATGGACTTGAAGACATGGGGAGGCAGAAGGGTAAGCTGGGACAAAGTGAGAGAGTGGCATGGACATATATACACTAAAATGTAAAATAGATAGCTAGTGGGAAGCAGCTGCATAGCACAGGGAGATCAGCTCAGTGCTTTGTGACCACCTAGAAGGGTGGGATAGGGAGGGTGGGAGGGAGACGCAAGAGGGAGGGGATATGGGGATATATGTATACATATAGCTGTTTCACTTTGTTATACAGCAGAAACTGACACACATTGTAAAGCAATTATCCTCCAAATAAAGATGTTAAAAAAAAAAGTCTAAAAAAAAAATAGATGGAGTACCATATATATTTCTTAGTAAAACACTGTCTCTTTCATTGACTGCTTCCAAATTAATTTTTTTTTAAATTTTTGGCAAAGACATTGTAAACCAAGCTTCTATTTGTAGACATTCATTTACATATGGGGGAATCATTTGCATTTATATGTGTAAACTCGTTAAAGAATTATACCATTATCCTGCCGCATGCATATTAATATAGGTTTGCATTTTAACTGGCTGGATATAAGATAGCTGTATTTATTTCTGTTCTAAAGCTTGTTAAATAAAAGTCTATCTGTGTATTTAAATAATAGGCACAGGAAGAAATTGCCCGACTTCGACGAGAAATGATGAAAAGCTGTAAATCTCCTAAATCAACAACAGCTCATGCCATCCTCCGGCGGGTGGAGACTGAGAGAGATGTGGCCTTCACTGATTTACGAAGAATGACCACAGAACGAGATAGTCTAAGGGAAAGGCTGAAGGTTTGGAAGAATTTTATCTATACGAGCATTTGTGAGACACCATGCAGTGACATTGAAAGCGCTCTGTTTTGTTTTTGTTTTTTAAACAGATTGCCCAAGAGACAGCATTTAATGAGAAGGCTCACTTGGAACAAAGGATAGAGGAGCTGGAGTGTACAGTTCATAATGTAAAGAAAAATCACTTTTGCACTTTCGGCTATAAACTCTCAGCGGTTCCCCCCTTCCCCCTTTTCTGTGTTCAGAGAAGTTTGTTTTTTGTTTTTTGTTTTTGTTTTTGTTTTTTTGTGGTACACGGACCTCTCACTGTCGTGGCCTCTTCCGTTGCGGAGCAAGGCTCTGGACACGCAGGCTCAGCGGCCATGGCTCACAGGCCCAGCTGCTCCGTGGCATGTGGGATCTTCCCAGACTGGGGCACGAACCCGTGTCCCCTGCATTGGCAGGCGGACTCTCAACCACTGCGCCACCAGGGAAGCCCCGAGAAGTTGGTTTTTTATGATAGTGTTTGTAATCCTAATATATTTATGGTAGCATGTATGGTGTAAATAGTCACCTTTTCATTATTTATTTCCTTCTAAAAAATGTGAGTGAAGTCTTTTTTTGTGTTAGGTTGCAAAGTGTGTTCTTTTAAATAAACCATTAGGGATGCATTCTAAGGGATTTTAGCAACTTTTTCATCTCCCTGTTTCATTAACGATAACATTGCCAGGGATAGAAAAACTGGCTTATTCTACCTAAAGAGTAGCTAGGGTAGAGAAAATTATAATGAAGTGGCAATTAATGAAATGTATTTAAACTGAATTTCATTATGAAGCATCACCTTTTTACTAATCAAGGATTTGAGATGCTATGAATATATATTTGAAGTGTTTTTACTATATAAACAGAATTAAGGGAATTCAACTTTCTGTTAACCAAATTTAATTGATTATATTTCTGAATTCATCTGTTTTATGTTGTTATAATGAGTTTTAGAAAAAGCAGTAGACAGGAGAAAAACATTATTTTTCATAATCCCACTTTATATATGTAATTTGTTAATGCTGAGCAACAAATAAGAAATCCTTTTGCAGATAAGCTGTGTGTCCTATAGTCCAGCTGAACCAGACTGAAAATATAGATGTGTATACTGTGATAGGCTTTATGGAAAAGCTGTGCAGTGGCTTGTCTGAGTTCCTGCTCCACGGTCGCCTTGTCCGTACAGCCTCCTGCAACGTTTAAGTCTAATCTGATCATCTCATTGTGTGAATCTTATATACCGGTTTGTACAAAGAGAGGATGTCTCTTTAGGAAGATTACTGGAACGTTTTTAGTGATGGCAGTAACTTTGTCATTCTGCTTGTATAGCTCGATGATGAACGTATGGAACAAATGTCAAATATGACTTTGATGAAGGAAACCATAACCACTGTGGAAAAAGAAATGAAATCACTAGCAAGAAAGGCAATGGATACCGAAAGTGAACTTGGCAGACAAAAAGTAGAGAATAATTCTTTGAGGTAAACTCAATTACCATTAAACAACTAATAGTTTAACTATAAATAATAGCTCTGCTTTTTGTAATGTATTTTATAGTGATAATTAAGTTATTTGTTGACTTTGTTTTCTGAGAGGATTATTATGAAGCAGTCATAGACACCTTAGCAGACATTAAATGATTTCCTGAAGGTCAGTCACAGACTGGGAATGCCACACTTAACTAGTAATCTTAATCTTATATTTGCAGAAGGCCTCAATGTTTAGCTGAAATAGCTTTTACACAGCCCTCCTGTGTAAAGAGCATATTTGACTTTGGTATTTCACTGCTTAATTTATTTTTTATTTTATTTATTTAGTTTTGGCTGCATTGGGTCTTTGTTGCCGAACGCAGGCTTTCTCTAGTTGCAGCGAGCGGTAGCTACTCTTCGTTGCGGTGCGTGGGCTTCTCATTGTGGTGGCTTCTCTTGTCGTGGAGCATGGGCTCTAGGGCGTGCGGGCTTCGGTAGTTGTGGCGCGCGGACTCAGTAGTTGTGGGGCACAGGCTTAGTTGCTCTGCGGCATGTGGGATCTTCCCAGACCAGGGCTCGAACCCATGTCCCCTGCATTGGCAGGTGGATTCCTAACCACTGCACCACGAGGGAAGCCCTCACTGTTTAATTTACCTTATAACTTTAGTTATGTTCTGGGATCTGAACGGTATAAGAAAGCACAAAGCACCGGTTTGATAGTAGCTTAGGAAAGGGGTAGTTTAGCATGTAATAAAAGCCATAGCAGAGAAATAGGAATATGTAATAGAACTTCTATTAATTGAATGCTACGTACTGTGCTTAGCACTTCTACATATTGCAGAAAGGTAGCAGAAGATATTCCAATTGAAGCAACCTACAGGCAATGACGTAGGGGAATAAGTGTTTGAAGACCTCCATGTTAGTGCTTTACTTGTAGTATCTATTGATGTGAGAAACAGACATTCTACAGATTCAGTAAGGTTGAATTTCAGTGCATCTATGAACATATGAAATATAATAGTTCATATGAGTATGAAGTATATTATTAAATCTACAGATAATATTTGGTTCATATGTGAATTCCCAGAATCCCCTCTTTGGTCTTTCACGGGTCTGTGGTGCATATATTGGAATCACTTGTCAGGACAGAGAGTCACTTAAATTTTTTCCCTTCATTTATTTTTTTTTTTTTATTTTTTATTTTTTTAACATCTTTATTAGGGTATAATTGCTTTACAATGGTGTGTTAGTTTCTGCTTTATAACAAAGTGAATCAGTCATACATAAACATATGTTCCCATATGTCTTCCCTGTTGCGTCTCCCTCCCCCTTCATTTATTTTTTACTTTCCTGCTTAAAAGGATATTGCAAGCTCAGGTAAAATAAAAATAGTAATAAAATAAGAAGGACAACAAAGTAAACTTTGGAAAATAGAGAAAAGCATACCGGAGAGTTAAATCATCCATGATTCCATAACCCAGGGAAAACTATTATTAATATAGATCATTTTTCTAACCAGAAATAGATCTATCTGTGTGTATAAAAGCTTTCTATGTAATTGATATCATCCTATATTAAGTTATATATTTGGCCAATTTCACTTAATTGTATACCATAAACATTTACACATGTCATTAGAAATTCTTTGAAAGCATTATCATGGTTTATTAAAATATTCTAACAGATAAATGTACAATAAGTTAGAGGTTTTTTTGTATACAGTTTTAACAGTATTATTCAAGTTTAATTGATATATGTACAGTAAACTACACATATTTAAAGTATTCAGTGTGGTAGGTTTTGACATGTGTGTGTACCTGTAAAACCGTCACCACCCTCAAGATAGTGGCTCTATCTATCACTCCACAAAGTCTTCTTGTACTCCTCTAACCTCTCCCCTACCCTGCCCTCACCAGGCAACCACTGATTTGGCTTCTGTCATAGAGATTTGTTTGAATTTTCTAAAATGTTGTATAAGTGAAATCATACAGTATATATTCTTTTGTTGGGCTACTTTCACTCAGCATCATTATTCTGAGATTTATCCATGTTGTCACATATAATCAATAGTTTATTCCTTTTTATTACTGAGTAGTATTCCATTGTATGAATATACCACATAAATATTTCAGTTGCTTCCAGTTTAGGGCTATAACAAATAAAACTGTTATGAGTATTCTTATATGGGTCTTTGTATGGACATATGCTTTTATTTCTCTTGGGTAAATACCTAAGACTGAGTCATATGATGGATATATGTTTAACTTTTGAAGAAACCATTAAACTGTTTTCCAGAGTGGCTGTATTATTTCATTTTACATTTGCACCAGCAGTGTGTGAGTGCTAGTTGTTACATATCCTCACCAACACTTGGTATGCAGTATCTTTATAGTTTTAGCCATCCTAATAGGTACGTATTATGGTTTTGATTTGCCTTCTCTAATAACTAGTAATTTTGAACATCTGTTCATGTCCTTATGTGCCATACATATATCTTCTTCAGTGTCTGTTCAGAACTTTTGCACACTTTTATTGAGTTTTTTATAGTATTAAGTCATAAACATCCTCTCTGTATTCTAGATAAAAGTCCTTTGTTAGGTACATATATGTTTGGCAAATATTTTTTTCCCAGTCTATGGCCTGCCTTTTTATTTTCTTAAGTGTCTTTTAAAGAGGAAATGTTTTTGATTTTTGATTAAGCAAAACTTATTGATTTTTAAAAATTTATATCCAGCTTTTGTGTTCTTTTAAAGAAATGGTTGTCAAGCCTAAGATGAGATTTTTCTCCTGTGTTTTCTTCTAGCAGTTTTATAGTTTCAGTTCTTAAATTTAAATCTATGCAAGTTAATTTTTGTATATAGTACAAGGTTCAGTTTTTTTGCATATGGATATCCAATTGTTCCAGCACCATTTGTTGGAAAACTTTCCTTACTTGTCTACACTGAATTGTTTTGTACCTTTGTAGTAAGTCAATTGTCCATATATGTTTAGGTCTGTTTCTTGATTATCTGTTTTGTTCGGTGGATCTATATATATCTTGATGCCAATACAACATTCCTGATTCCTTTTTTTTTTTTTTAATCCTCAAATTAGGTAATGTTAGTCCTCCAACTTTGTTCTTTCTCAAAGTTGTTTTGGCTATTCTGGTTCCTTTGCATTTTATTTTAATTTTAGAATTAGCTTCATAGTGTAAACACAAAAGCCTGCTTGGGGATTTGATTGGAATTGGGGAAAAACTCCCACTCATGAACACTTTCCATTTCTTTATTTAGGTCTTTAATTTCCCTCTGCAATGTTTTATACATATAGATCTCTCATTTCTTTTGTAAGATTTATCCCTAAGTATTTCCCATTTTTTGATGCTGTTGTAAGTGGAATTTTAGAATTTCACTGTCTGATTGTTTATTGCTTGTATGTGAAAATATCAATACGATTGTTTTTAAAAAATAAACTTTGCATTATATAACAGTTTTAGATTTACAGAAAAATTGTGAAGATAGTGAAAAGTTCCTACGTACCTCACACCCAATTTCCTCTGTTAATAACATCTTACATTAGTATGGTACATTTGTTAAAATTAATGACTCAACATTGATACACTATAATTAACTAAAGTCTGTAATTTATTCAGATTTCCTTAGTTTTTCCCTAATGTCCTTTTTCTGTTCCAGGATCCCATCCAGGATACCACATTATATTTAGTTGTCATGTCTCCTTAGGCTTCTCTTGGCAGTCTCAGACTTTCCTTGTTTTTGATGACCTTGACAGTTTTGAGGAGTACTGATCAGGTATTTTGTAGAATATCTCTCAGTTGGGGTTTGTCTGATGGTTTTCTCATGATTAGGTTGGGTAATGTTTTTGAGAGAAAGATCACAGAATTAAAGTGCCATTTTAGTATACACAGATACCCAGGGTGTCATGAGTACATCTTATTGATATGATTCATTGCTGTTGATTTTGACTTTGGTCGCCTGGCTGAGGTAATGTTTGCCTTATCCAGAATGTCATATAATTGAAATCATACAGCACATAGCCTTTTCAGACTGGCTTCTTTCACTTAGTAATGTGCATTTAAGGTTCATCCATGTCTTTTCATACCTTGATACCTCATTTCTTCCCATTGAATAATATTCAATCATATATATGTACCACATTGTGTTTATCCATGCATCTATTGATGGTCATCTTGGTTGCTTCCAGTTTTTGGCAGTTGTGAATAAAGCTGCTATAAACTTTCATGTGCAGGTTTTTGTGTGGACAGAAGTTTTCAGATCAGTTCAGGAAATACCTAGGAGCACAATTGCTGAATCATATATAGAAAAACTTATTTAGCTTTGTAAGAAACTGCCAAATTCTCTTCCAAAGTGACTGTAAAATTTTGCATTCCCATCAGCAGTGAAGGAGACTTTCTGTTGCTCCACATCCTTGTCAGCATTTGGTATTGTCAAACTTTTGTATTTTAGCCATTATAAGTGTGTAGTGATATCTCATTGTTTTAATTTGCAATTCTCTAATGACAAGTAATGTGGAACATCTTTTCATATTGCTATTTTCCATCTGTATATCTTTGATGAAGTGTTTATTGTTTAAATGTTCTTAACCAATTATAATTCTAGTGACTTCCGCTTAAGATAAGCAGATCTCAGTTGTAAGTCTCCTAATTTGCCATACTTTTCAGTTTTTGGGGTGGTGATTTGTCTTGCAACTCACTACTCTGATATGTCCATGAAAAGTCTTTGATTCTCAGCTTTTTCATCTTTATTTCCCCCATAACAATGGGAATGATGGCTCCTAAGCTCTTTACATGTCAGGGCTAAAACCAAAAGTCCTACAATTTATTTTTATTTATCCAGTATTCTACAACCGTGCTAAATATACCTTTTAGTTCTAGTAGCCTTTTTATAGATTCCATTCAATTTTCTACATAGATAATTAGATCATCTGCAAATAAAGACCCTTTTACTTGTTCAAGTTGCATGCTTTTTCTCCCTTTATTTTTCTTGCCTTATTGC